GGTCATTGAATCCAGCCCCCTGCTCCGTGCAGGAATATAAATCTAAGCCAACCTGACAGATCGTTGTCCAATTTTCTCTTGAATGCCTCCAACATTGGAACACTCACCACCTCCGGAGGTCATTGATTCCCTTGTCGTACTGCTCTAACAGTTAAGAAGTTTTTCCTGATACTGTATTCAGGCAAAATCTGGCTTCCTGTAGCTTGAGCTCTTTATTATGCGTCTTGCACTCTGGGATGATTGAGAACAGATCCTTATCCTCATTATGACTACCTTTCAAGTATTTGAAAAGCGATCATATCTCGCCTCAGTCTTCTTTTCTCAAGACTGAGCATGCCCAGTTCTTTCAGTCTTTCCTCGTAGGGCTTGGTTTCTGTTCCCCTGTTCATCTTGGTTGCCCTCCTCTGAACTTGTTTCCCGTTTGTTAGCGTCCTCCTTAAAGTATGGTGTTCAGAACTGGCCACAGTACTCTAGGTCACTGGTTCTCAAACTGGGGTCCCCAAGATGTTCTTGGACTGAAATTCCCAGAAGCCTTCACCACTAGCTGTGCTGGCAAGGATGGCTGGGAGTTGCAGTCCAAGAACATCAGGAGACCCAAGTTTGAGAACCAGCGCTCTAGGTGAGAGGCCTAACCAGTGCTGAATAGAAGGGAACAAGTACCTCATGGAATTTAAAAACTCTGCTTCTGTTAAGGCATCCTAAAGTGTCAGATACCCCCGAACATATAGGCAAGATCCTGCCTCTAACGTCTTAATGACTTTTGTACAAAGTATGTAAAATTGTTTTTAAATGGCTTATGTAAATTTTGTTTTATTTTCACCCACTTCCTGCAGGTTTCCTTTAAAGCTGTGATGAAAATGTGATTTGAAAGGGACTCATCCTGACACAGGAGTATGAGGGGGAAGAACCGCGTGCTTTCTCTCTGGACTGAAACAACCCAAATGTACTTCAAGCCTTTTCTTGGGTGACAATCGCGTCCGACCCTCTTTTTTCAGCTCAAAGTCCTTATCTGTTTTTATTTTAAATCACACACACACACACACCGTGTGAACTTCAGACTTTTTGCTGTGCTAAATGGACTTGGATCTATGTGCATCTGCTTCCCCCCACCCCCCCGGCCTCATCCCACCTGCATCTTAATGATCAATGAAAAGATAATATTGTCCCTGTGGTGTGTTCAAATCTGTTTCGATCCCGTGTTGGTTACACTTTTTGCCGTGCATGTGATGTGTGTGTCTGTGTGTTCATAGTCAAAAACCACTTGAAGGAGAACGTTAAGCTAACACACTTAAGCTTCAGAGTGTGATAAGGAGAAGCTTGAGACAAGAAAGGAAGTTGACAGTTATTTCAAGGAGATTTTTTTAAAGGGGGAAAATAGAAGATTTGAAGATGTAAAACAGGCAGACACACCTTTCTTTCATATAGGAAAGATGCCGCTGAGCTTGAGCTGCACATACTGAACGCTTCTTTACAGGTGCTTGACAATCCTTGTTTTTATAGGCAATAAACATGGGACATTGATTGACTCTTTGGGTGAGTAGATAATAATTTATGGTTTATCCTATAGGACAAGTGGTTCCCAACCTTGGGCTTCCAGATGTTCTTGGACTTCAACTCCCAGAAATCCTGGCCGGCAGTGGTGGTGGTGAAGGCTTCTGGGAGTTGTAGTCCAAGAAGATCTGGAGGCCCAAGGTTGGGGACCACTGCTGTAGGAGACCTTCCTGTAATTCTAACCCTCCCTTCTGTTTCTCCATTTGTGCTCAAGGGTCCCCCTAAGAAGAAAGAGAAGGGGGTAGAATCAGCAATAGGTGAAGCAGAGCTCTGGTTAAACCGGGCCACCCAAATGTCCCCTTTCCTGGGAAGGCAGAAGAAACTCAAGTAATCAAAGCAGATCAAGATCATCCATCATTATGTCCGTTCCTCATATGATTCATCTCTTGGGTCCCGTCCTTTTCTTCTCTTTCCTTGACTAGCCTTAGCTAAACTGAGGTCTAAAAGGAAGCTGTCGCATCCTCACCTCCGTGCAACAATGGCAGCCCTTCCTCCCCAGAGAACACTGCCCAAGTGAATTGCTTAGGTTGGCTGGTCTTCCCGCAGCTGGGGCACTGCCATCTTGAATATTTATTTAAATTGTGGAACAAATCTGCTTGGAAAGACTTTTAGGGAACCCCTCCCAGGAGAATACAGGGTAGAAAGGATGAGCACAATCGCCTCTTAAGAGTAATTGGTTTTGAAAGTATTGGAGGAAATGACTAGAGACCAATTTCAGAGAAACTGTAATTTGAAATTATTAGTGTCATCAGGAAACTGCCATGTGGACTGTTTCCCCCCCTCCTTCCATATTTCCTTGGAAAGCCTTTTGAAGTGCGATTTTAAAAATATTGTATTTTTTTTAATAAGCGAGGTGCTTGTTGAAATGTCTTTGGACTAAATTAATTAAAACGTTAAATGGCATCCTTTTTTATTAGTTGTGTGATCTATTAATACGATCGCCACCATCATCTGAAATCATGCATCAGAGTGATCTCAAATCATCGTGTCCTCCTAAAATCCCAAAACAGCTAGCTGGAATGCTTGGAAATATAAAGATATTAGTTCCAGAAGCAGGAAACATAGTTCTTAATCCCATTTGTACACCTAGGAGATGGACAAGCAACCTCCAGAGGTTAGGGGCACAGACATTTTTTCCTAGATGGTGGAGGGCTACTTCCATGCCCCTATCTTGAAATTTTAAGCAAAATCTTAAACTGCCTCCTAGCACTTTTTTAATGGCCGATTTTATATGTTTTCGTACCCCAATGCTTTTTTAAAAATAATTTTCTGGCTGAAAATGTTGTGTTGTGCCTGGGGGTCATATATATATATATATATCAAGCATTGTGGGTGGGTATATAGTGGGGCACCTATTGTATACAGGAGGGAGCACCAGAATTGGGCCTCATCACTTCAAATTCTGTATCTTGTTAATATCTAAGAGCCCTGTAGCAGAGAGAGGTTAAACTGCAGTACTGCCGTCAA